TAATAACTTTCTAAAAATATTCGAGAAAGATTATATTTGCTAAATTTTATGTAAACTTTAAAGGATTTAATTAGTCCATAAATCTGTAAATAACACTTTGGTTCTAGGTTGCCCATATGATAAAAAAGAATATCATAGGCATCGAAGTATGTCCTATTTCAAACCAAGTTTTGGGCTTAGTAGGTGATATGCGAAATCATCCTTTATCATCGATGATTATGGATAATTATCCTATTGTGATAAGTTCTGATGACCCCGGATTTTGGGGAGCTAAAGGAGTTACATACGATTGGTATTATTAAAAAAAAATTTTTTATTACTGAACTTATTATAACTTTCCAAACGTTATTCTTGTTGTACATAAACATTTAGTTAAACCAGAAATTGATGCATGATTCAGCTCAAAAGACTATTAAGCTATTTCAGGACTTTCATATTAGTAGATGAAGTTTTACCTAAACTTCACGTTCACGTTTTATGACACTTTTCGATATTATCTTGATATTGATGATGTTGTTATCTTGAATAGACAATAGATCATATTATTTTATAAATTAGGTTTCAACTGGGCTATTATTCATATAGTTGCGATTTTTTAGGTATATGACTTTTATTGGAATAGCATCCGTTAATCAAGATTTACATTTATTAAAACAATTAGCACTAAATTCTATTGAACAGTCATCGTTACCAAAAGATGAAAAAGAAAATTTACTGAGTCACTGGCAAAATCTCTGGAAAAAATATATAGAAGTTGCCATTAGCAGATCCCAAGGTATTGAAGACAACGTTCATAAATCTGATTTCTCATGAATAGTGCTGGAGAAAAATCGATCTGCTACTAGAAATACAAATAAAACTACTCTAAACCTATAAACGATACTAATTAAATTTAACTGTATGGACGAAGCGAGATGTATAATTATTTCTGCACAACTAATATATTTTGACGAAGTTATATTTGTGATAATTGTATCAATATGTCTTACGAAAAACTTAGGGGCGAACAAAATCATATTAACCCTCCGTCGGTCGGATATTTTTTCACCTTCGAACGGTCGGAAAGGTCTGGCTGGACCACCATTCATTTTACATGCATTTATATGGGATAAATGAGTTTTTGGTGTCTTATGTATTAACGATCCTATAAAAAAATCAAGAAATATAAAAAATCGTTGCTTTTTTGTTAATTTTTCTGTTTTAAATCAATGAAAAACAATATTTATTCTTTTTCGGCGCCTTTGAAATGAATGTGTGCATTACTCATCCGATTTTCAGTGTTTGCAATTACCAATAAGTTCGGTAGGTTTTCAAGGAACTCTCGTCATGAAAATACTAACATTCATGTTAGAACACATAGCAAAGAATATAAACAACGCAGTTTGAATAGAAAATACCATAAAAAAAGACAAAATACTGGTTTACATATATCAAAAAGCGTATATTTCATACAAAATGTATGGGTGGTTTAGACAGACCTTTCCGACCGTTCGAAGTATAAAAAAGTTAATATCCTTATAATTATCCTTCTGTACATTTTTTCGTCCTGATTTTTTCATTGATCGACAGCTAATGAAATTTTAGGAAAAGTCAAGAAATTTCAAGTCGATAGGATTACTAGAAGTATTTTTTCTTTTTTAATTGAAGTCGAAAAAAGTCTGGCCAGACCACGCCGACCGACGGAGGGTTAATAATAGTCGCTAAAAAGTATTGAAAATTTTTGAAATTTATTGTATCAGGTAATTTCAATTCAAGTTTATATGTATCTAGAATAAATACGAAATAATATATTAAATAATAAAAAATATATTTTATTTAGTACAGCAAACTGCAAAGATATAATTACATTATTTTAGATATTAACTTCCCGAAAAGAAGTTTGTTTATGCCAGAAAAGGCAAATTGCTATTTTCTCCACATTTCAAGTCTAAATCTGAATCGTTCAAGATTAAAATTGTAATAGTGGTGTGTATGGCATCGTGCCTTAAGGCAAATTGCTGGTACTTCCAGTATCGTAACAAAATGTTCGAGAAATATTAAATGTTTTTAAATAGACTATTATGAATAAATATTGTAACATTGTCCAATATTTATTAGAATTATATAAACTGAATTGCAAAGTTGAAAATATATTTGTTTAAAGTATATTAGAACTTAGGTCAGAATTACAATTAAAATCTGAATTATTCTCGATGTACAAAAAATTTTTTTTTGAAAAAAGTATTGATACAAACATTTTTTTGTCTAAAAGCAATTAATTTATTAAAACAAGCTTTTTGAAAGTTAGTTTTTGAAAGAAAGTTTTTTGAATCATTCAAATCGGACGCTTAGTTCTCTCAAAAACTGCCATTTCTTGCACATTTAGATCTATATCTCTGAAACTGGAGCTGCCTTTGCCAAAAATTAATCACCACTTCTCCCAATTATTACAAATTGAATGTTTTCTAGATCATTCAAATGGGATATTCCGTTTTCTCAAAAAGACGATTTGTATTTTCTGCATTCCTTGTTCCATATCTCTGTAACGGCTAGACCCGCCTTTGCCAAAAACTAATCAGCACATCTTCCTATCAATAAGAATCGAATGCTTTTTTAACTTCCCGTAGGGCAAGTTATAGTAATCGCAAAAAAATCGAAAATGAAAATTTTTGCTTTTCTCGACGTTTCAAAGGTTTCTAAATATTTTGGCATACCTTAGAAAAAATGGATGTATGTGTGTGTGTGTGTGTGTGTGTGTGTGTGTGTGTGTGTGTGCGTGTGTGTATGTATGTGCGGATACAAATTTTCGTCGACGATTTCGGGAACACCGATCAACCGATTTGAATAATTCAAAAAACATTCGATTCGTATTGATAAGGAGACGTGCTGATTAGTTTTTGGCGAAGTCAGCTCTAGCTGTTCCGAAGATACGGGGCAAAAAGTGCCGAAAACGGTAACTCAGTTTTTAAGAGAACGGAGCGTCCGATTTTAATAATTCAAAAAACATTTTACTTGTATTGACAAGGTGAAAAACCGATCAAATTTTCATAAAGGCAGGTCTAGCGGTTTCGGAGATCTAATGAAAAAAGTGAAAAAAAATGCCATTTGGCGGTCAAAAATGATCATTAGACATATGCACATCAAATTATCAGATATTTTATAAAGATTTTAACAAGTATAATTTTGGTTTACATTCCTATGGGTTCCGTACCAATGTTTACGCGTTAGACGTCGACGCGGCGCTTACGCGGTTCGATATGCAGTTAAAGCATTACGATTGCTTTGAAAAAAGTTTAGATCTTTCAAAATATGTCAAAATAAAGAAAACATTTTTTTTCAAAAAAAAAAAATAAATTTTTTTTCAAAAAAAAGTAATTTTTTGTCTAATTGTTTGTCAAAAATCTTATTTTTCCGAAGTAAATTTTTTTCAAAAATGTTAATCGTTTTTAAAAAAATAATAATTTTTGGTACGGGAAGTTCCAGCAATTTGCCTCAAGGCACGATGCTCTAATTGCCTTAAGACAGAATTCCACTTACAGCTAGTTAACTATTTAAATCAGTTGATCCGTGAGCCCGAAAACGTGGGCGAAAAATAGTGGACATACAAAACACACAGTCAATTTTTCTGAGGTACGCTAAAGTGTTCAGATACCTTTAAACCGTCGAGAAATGCAAAAATTTTCATTTTCGATTTTCGGTCAATTACTATAACTATAATTACTATAAGTTAATTATATTAGACTATAATAACTCACTGAAAGAGAAGTTTGTTTACGTTTGGCGAATTGCTATTTTCTCCACATTTCGAGTCATTCTAAATCTAAATCGTTCCAGATTAAAATTGGAAAAATTATATGTATGACCTCCCATCAATTTATGCTCAAAAAATGAAATCAAAAATTTTGCTCAACCGATTATAAAAAATTAAGACATTGGCTCTGACTCTATCAGGTCTCGTGCTGATTTTGCAGGTCGATCAGCCAAGCCGTTTCTTTAAAATTAGCAGAAAAGTGCAAATTTTTTCTTCCACATTTTCTTTCCTGAAAATCTATATCGACTCGGGATACTTATTGATCACTCGTCAATTTATATATGAATATCTTATCGAACAAGTCGATTATTTACAGATGTCGCAAAGTTCAAGCAACTTGCTTTAAGGTAAAATGCCACTTACAAATAGTTCTACACTTCTCTCATAATTGGGCTCATCTATTCCTATGTGAATATAAAATCTTATAAATAATTAGATTGGATACAAAAATTGAAGCATCAGTATCAGTAATAGTTGAACCTAGGACTTTTACATCAAAGTAATAAAGTTTTGGTCAATTTCTTCTTCATGAGTAATGTAATACCTCATATCTTAAATGCGAATACTTGAGTCGTATTATCGCATTAAACGTATTACATATGAAAATTCGGCTCATTATCCGTGCAAAATGTGTGTATTCATCCGTATCACCTCCGGATCAGATGGTGTCGAGTCAGTTTCGAACGGAAATCAGACACTTTACAATATACTGTTGGTCATTAAGCAAAATAAATCACCGAAAATCGACCGAAATAACTCTTACAATGATTATCACATTGCCTGCAATGTGCACACGGTGGTTAACGAAATTGTCATTGATGGCCAAAGAATTACTACAACTTTTAACATTAAAACATCGATAAGAGCAACTAATCAAATCACAATGATTTCGATACTTTTTTTTAACTTCCCGTAGAGTAGTTATAGTAATGGACCCAAAATCAAACATGAACATTTTTGTATTTCTTCACGTTTTGAAAGTTTCTGAACATTTTGGCATACCAGAAAAAATGGATGTGTGTATGTTTTGTAAGTCCGCATTTTATCGTCAACGTTTTCGGGCGCACGGATCAACCGATTTGAATGATTCAAAAAACATACGATCGCTAATGATAGGGAGATGTGCTGATGAGTATAGTAATGGACCCAAAATCAAAAATGAAAATTTTTGTATTTCTTCACGTTTTGAAAGTTTCTGAACATTTTGGCATACCAGAAAAAATGGATGTGTGTGTGTTTTGTAAGTCCGCATTTTTTCGTCAACGTTTTCGGGCGCACGGATCAACCGATTTGAATAATTAAAAAAATATACGATTCCTAATGATAAGGAGATGTGCTGATGAGTTTTTGGCAACGGCAGGTCCAGCCTTTACGAAGATACAGAGCAAAAAGTGCAGAAAATACAAATCGAGTTTTTGAGAAAACGGAGCATCCGATTTGAATGATCTAAAAAACATTCAATTTTTAATGACGGATAGAAGGGGTGATTAGTTTTTGCAAAGGCAGTCCCTGCCGAGCTAATCTTTATTATCTCAAATTTTTTTTTCATTTTTTTTTCAATTTTTTTAAATTTTTTTTTGTATATAAAGAATAATTGAAGTTCAAAAGATCACTTATATATTCTAAATAAATAATTATAGCTTTCTAAATCAGTTTATATAATTCTCATAAATATTAGACAATGTTAGTGTTTATAATAATATATTTAAAAACACTTAATACTTCTCGAACATATCATTCCGGTACGCGAAGTTCCAGCAATTGGCCTTGAGGCACGATGCCATAAATCACTAGTTATATACTAGCTTTTTTGCTGAATTTACACCACATATTTCTCCAATAATCAAACATATTTTTAACTTCTCGAAAGTGAAGTTACGTTTTTGCCAGATAATCCGAGTTGCTAATTTGTTTTTTCTTGATGTGCCAAGCCATTCTGAATCTTTTGGGACCGAATTTGGAAAAGGTATATGTGTGTGTACGTATGACTGTGTGCATGAGTCTATTTTTGATCATTGATCGACGTTTTATTAGAAACGGCTG